ATATATATAATATACATAAACTACAATAAGTAAACAACAATAAGTACAACTATAACCGAGCGAGCGTTAGCGAGCGAGGAATACATCGCTAGTTAAATAATTAAGTTAACATTAATGTATTAATTTTAATAAAACTGATAATTATTAGTTAATATAAATATTCAACAAGAATATACGAATAAAGAATTCGTTTGTTAATTTCATTATAGATAAAATGTTTTAAGAAAATATATATTGTTTTTTAAATTAATTAATTAATTAATTCAAGTTCAATAATAATTATTGCTCGATTATATGAATAAAATCATGTACTACAAATTTTATTAAGACTTTAAATGAAATAATTAAAAATAGTTGAATTTAATTTAATTGTTAATATTATTTTTATAGTAATGTTCCGTTTAAAAAAATTGTAATACTAAATTGAATTGAATTTAAATAAATTAAAAAATTTTATTTTATAATCAACTGAAGGGTACATTATATTAAATAATTTTAAAATGATCCGATTTCTTTATTTCGTATGCCATGAGCTGTGAATCATGTTGTATTGTTTGTACTTTTTTGCAAACAAAAATAGCGCTTTCGTTCCTCCAAACGATTTTGTATACTTCCTCAAACAATGGCAATCCGTTTTCGTAGCCAACTGGAATAAAACATTTATTTGCTGTATATTTAACATGATGAATGCTTACCCAACTGACAGTTGTCAAATTATTTTCTTCAAGGAATAGATAACAAAAAGGAAATTTGAATGTTTGGTCAATTTTTTTATCCTTATAGTAATTTTATCTTCCTGGAAAAAAATTCGTTGCAACGCTTGCCATAACTGATGCTTTCTCGACAGAGTCAGAGGGATATTTTTCCAATTGCGCATAGCTTGATCGATTCTTTTAAAATATTGATGTTTCGCCTCAAATCTTAGCGTCCAGAAGTGGACTAAAGGGACAAAAATTCTATTAAGTCCTGGGTAATGCAAAAGGATATATAAAGGAATCAGTGATTCTAAAAGACTTAATGACTCTAACGAAGTCGTATGTGAGCAGACGATTACCATAATTTCCAATAATTGGAGATGGTTTTCGAGATATTTGGTATTTTCAGCGTTGACACGATCATGAACAATGAATCGCAAAATGGTAGCCAACATCCACGCTTGTGACATTGTTTGCGTAATTTTACGTAATTTTTTTTTAAATTTTGCGTAATTGAAGATGGTTTAGAACTTTTTTCACCGTACCCATAATCAAATGATGCTACTCTTCCATTAAACTCATCTAGAGTCATCCAATTCCCCTTAATACAAAAGCGAATGAGAAATAACTTTACTTGTAAGAGGATTATTCCTCCCATGAAAGGGGGTTAATCTGTTAATACCGTACTCATGAGATAATTTTTTTTCTTCCTCTGTTGTCGCAGCTTCCATTCTTGCCAATTGCTGTCTGTGTGTTGCGGGATTTCGTAACCGTTGAGTGTCTTCTCTGATCATAATTTGCATTTCCTGTAAAGAAGCCATACAAGATCGACAAGGATGTTCGGCCGAGAATGATTCTTTAAATCCACAAATCATTTGTATCTCCAAGTTGTCGCCTGTCAGACCTGAAACAGTACCATATATTATTTCTCCGTTGGGTAATTGAATTCCGTTTTCTATTTCTTGTATATCTTCAACAATAGCTTCAACAAGAGGAGTTAGTCCGAATTCCTTGACACGCGTATATTTTATAACGGCAACCAAATCAATAGAAGACAAAATTGTCTGATAAATAGGTGGAACATTTCCATACTGGCAATATATAAATCCTAATTTCTGTTTACCGCCAGCTCTTGAACCAAGTCCATCGCAAAACTCAGCTTCGTCGTAATATAGTTTTATTTGTATGGCTTTCGGATTTATAGAAAACATTGGATGAGTTTTGCACCGTGATACATCCTTAAATGAACAAAACATTCCTTCTCTACTATCGGATTTTTTATTTAGTAGTTCTCGAAATCTGTCATTAAAAAGATACTTCAAAAGCAACTCTCGAATTGGTATATATATAAATTCATCATCTTTCTTTTTAATATTTGGATTTCCACTAGGACCTTGCCCAACCAATTGAAACTCCGAAGAGAGGTGCCGAATCGTTAGCTCAACAACATCAAATTGCTTTAAGAAGTAAGCGTCTTGCTTGTAAATGGTATCTAAACCGTGGACTGTATTTATTGCGGCAATTTCATTATCGATATCAATATAATCTCTTATATTACAAATATTATATTGTAATAAAGTTCTTTCAGTTTTTAGTAAAGAATCCAGCACGTATTGTTTCACCACTGCGTCTAAACTTTTTGCAACGTTCAATACAATGTCGTTCGTTACTTGAGTTTGAGCCCTCATACTGAGAAACATTAATTTACATCATTTACATCATCATTAACATTATATCCATCCTCTTCTTCGTCACCGTAGTCATCAGAATCAAGACTTTCATCGTCATCATCGCTGTCACATTCAATTTCTTCTTCATTATCATTGTAATCCAAATCATCTTCATCTAAATTATCTGTTTCGTTTTCTTCATTATTATAGCTGCTATTAGAATCAATGCTCATTTCCGAATTGTAATCATTATCAGATTCTGAGGTATCATAAATGTTGTCATTTTGATCATTACTCTCAGCCCTACGTTGATGTAAATGCTGTCTGCTTCTATGTGATCGAAGAGAATTTAGATTTTTCTATACTTCTTGGCAGCCATTTATTTCGCAGGTAATTTGAAATTCGGGATGAGATAAATGATTCAACTTCAAATGAATACCCGGATCAAATAACTCGACCGACGCTCGGACGCACGCTCTAATGGTAGTCGGGTAGCAGTGATCCGCCCACAGGCTGTCACTGCTACTTGACTGGTAATAGAGCGTTCGTCCGAGCGTCGGTCGAGTTATTTGATCCGGGTATTCAAATGTTGTTCCAAAAATTCTTTATCTAAATTTTATCTACAAAAACGGCACTGTACTTTCCTGATATTCATTTCTGAAATTAACATGAATAATCAATTTAAAATTTTATTATAATTATAATATTTATTTATACTCAGGTCTCGGATCGAATTTAAGGCACCAAAAATGTCTAAAATGTCGATTTTTTTATTTTAATTAAATTTAATTATTTAATAATAATTTACTTTAAATAACTAAAGTTATTAGATATTAAATCCATTTTATTATTTTATCAATAAGTATAATCATAAAGGAATATTATCAAGAAAATTTATTTTTAATATTTCAGAATCGAACTAAGATGTAAATTTAAAAAAATTTTAATTAAGTAGGACAAATCACTAAAAAAATTCTTAAAACAATTCAAGTTTAGAGTTTTTCTTTGAAACTTTTTAAATAACTGAAAAATAATTTAAGAGAATTGAATTTGTGAAGAATTTCATTAAAATTATTGGATATAATTAATTTAAAGAGAAATTTTAGTTAAAAATTTGTTTAATAATTGAAATAAAAAATTTTAATAAAATAAGTCGAAAAATATCGAGTTTTCGAAAAAAAATTGAAAATGTATAATCCGAGACATATATATTAAAAATATTTTTAAAAAATACGTTATGTGGTACATAGTTTTTCTGAGCACTACTTATATGTGTACGTCCACATGAAAAGGGACCACTTAGTCGATTACAATGAGGATTATTTTTACGTAAACATTAATTCAAATATCGCCCTTGTGAAAGAATCTACAGTGGTCCCTTTTCACGTGGACGTACACATATAAAGAAAGTATCGATATTTGAAAATAAAAACAATTAAAAATATTTAGTTTTGAGTTAGTCGTTTCAAAAATTTTTACTTGATTTCTTAGAGTCAAGTTCTTTTTAAAAAAAGCAAGTAAACTTACCGAATTGAAAGGTGTCAAATGTTTCATTTAAGATTATTCCGCCGATAAAAAAAGTTCTTTGACATTATTCAATTCCAAAATTCATAAACTTGCTCTTCCTTGTAAAACAATAAGAGGTGTGACTACTTTTATTAAATACTTGTTTACCTACAAAATTATGAAAAAAAATATTAATTAATTTTTCTTAAAAATAGTTTTGAATTAAAAAAGTTTTTAATTATTTTTTTCAATAAAATAAAGTATAAATTTTAGGTAAAAATAAATTATTTTGCTTCCTCGTGGAGGAAGCTTTCTAGTCCTTTCGTTTATAAAACTTTTTAAAGTCCCGGAAACAAATTTTTTTCTTTATAGAAACATGTTATATGAGATCCTGATCAATTGTCCGGATGTATGTATGTGTGTGTATAAGTTCTATCCATTTATATATAAAATTTCTATCTCTTCAAGTCATTTTTAATTTTTTTTCTTTATTAATTTTTTTTATTGCCTGTTACAATTTTTTTTCTTAATTAACACGAAAAAATACGTTTGAATTTTAAATATGAATTAAACATATTTATTATTCAAAAAGTTATAGATATGTTTGCCAAAAATTTCAGTACTTTCAAATATTTTTGTTTTTATTTTGTTTTTGCTTCCTCGTAAAGGTAGCTTTGTAGTCCTTTCATTTATAAAACTTTTCAAAGTGGCGGAAACAAATTTTTTTCTTTATAGAAACATGTTATATGAGATCCTGGAGTGGGATTACAAATAACGACGGCGCTACGAAGATTTCGCTAAGTAGCGATTCAAAGCTACATTCACTTTAAAAAAATTTTTAGCTATCGGGTGACTCAAAAAAATGGTACCATTTTAATAGATTTAGTTTGGTACAATTGTTTTTCTGTGTATTTTTCTTCTCATATTTGCTTTCTTTTATAATTTAACAATTTTTTTTAGAATCAAGAATGTATTAAATTCATAAGGATTTTTACACTATGAAGAAATGAAGCAATTAAAGATATATCTAAAAGCCTGACAAATTTTTCAAGTGTAACACGTCAAATCTCAAAAGTTATAAGAAAGGCAATTCGAGGCAACGATAATTATTAATATTATTATATTAAGGGGTTATGCCACTCTAGGATTTTCAAAAAATCGCTTTTTTTTTGCTTTAAATAGTTCCTTAGGGTCTCAGAAATAACATATTGCAGGATTATGGCTCGGAAAAATCTCTAAATAATTTATTTTCGAAGTTCCTTGCAAGGCTGCACGGTACGCGGCGAGCTCATTTTGTCAGTTCTACGGGGGGTGATCTTTGAAGGATCTACAGCAGGTATACGGCAGATGTTTTCAAAGGCGCTAGTTACTTGCTAGACTATAGTGGTCAATTATATGGTGCAGGCATTGCAGATTAAAGGTATTGTGAAATTATTTAAGTTTTTTACAACTTAAAACTTTAAACGCGTTTATCTCCAAACTACATTTTTCGAGTTGGCCGAACCAACAACTCGTACAATTTCCAACCGATTAGGTTCAAATTTGACACACATCTTTAAAAATACATTTTTTAAGGTATCCGTAGGATTTTTTTTTTATTCTATATAGTTAATTTGTTATTAACTATTAACTGATGGTTTTTTAGTCGAAATTAGAAAGTTTAACTTTAGAAGTGCGCCATTTGATCATGAATCAATATATCGAAAAAATCCTACGTGTTACTTTAGCTATTGTAATATATAATAAAAAAAAATTTAGATACTCAAGATATTTCAAAATTTACAGGAGCAGTTAGTTCGGCCACGTACCCCTTGAACCATAGAGGAGTCGAAGGACGACCGCTACAGCGCCACCATTCTTCAAGAAATATTTATAAGAAATTATTTTTTTACACCTAAAAAGATGTATAATAAACTTCTTATATTATATTTTTAATTGACTTTATGGTTTTTCTAAAAAAAATTCACATAAAACACCTATTTTTTCGGTCTCTAGAGTGGCATAACCCCTTAACACTTTTATTTCTAAATGTAAACCTTAAATTTTTTTATAATTAATAATTATAAACTAAATAAAATATAATAAAGAAAAAAAGGAGACATTTATTTCTAATTTCTATCCTTACAAAAAATAACGAAAATAATTTAACTTTATCGAATAATAATAATAAATTATTTACTTTTCATTTTTATATTAATAATTAAATATTTATTGCATTTATATTTATTATCTTTTTCATAGGATTAAAAGTTTCTATTAGACATTGTCTAAAAAGGAAAAAAAAATTTAATTTAAAAAATTTTGAAGATATAACCTCGGAAATAGAATTTTTGTTCTCACGCAAGGGTTCACTAAATAAATATATAGGGCATTTTTGTGAGTTAAAGTGTTTTTCAAGAAATGAAAATTTAAATCAATTTATGTAAAAAATAATTAATTAATTTAATTAAAACAATTTATTAATTTTTAAATTTAGACTGGTAAAGAATATCTTAATTTTAAATCTCATGCAATTATTATTTTTAATTCTTGCAATAAGATTAATTTTCTTAATTTTTATTTATTAAATTAAATTAAAAAAAATTATTTCCTTTATACATTATTTTAACATTAAACTAGATAATTTATTTTTAAAATTGTTATTTATTTAATTAATAGGTTATTTACAATATTAAAGTATAATTTACTTCGTCACTAGTTAATTATTTTATTTGAAAGTAACAGTTGGCAAACATGAAGTTAGAGAATTGATTCCACCTTCATGTTGTATTTGTTTGCTACGTAGATAAAATATTTTAGGAAATTGACATGAATTCTATGTCAATGTCCTTATGTAGAGGGGTTATGTCTATATTTTGTTCTAAATTACCATCTTGCAGTTAAAGTTTTGAAGAACATATCAACGGTATTTTATTTTGGTCATGATTTGGAACAAATTTCACTAAAGATATGTAAGTTTTAAATTCTAAATAACGAAAAGCGCTACATAGCGACCAGCGCTATTAGTAATCCCACTGCTGATCAATTGTCCGGATGTATGTATGTGTGTGTGGATCCCTTTGTTGTTTAGAAGATAACTTTAACAGGTTCTAATGGATTTAGATAAAATTTGGTAGGCTCATTTATCATATTAATATCTCAAATCTGACCAAAGGATTTTGAAAAATACCCAAAAAAAAATTTTATCGTCTTTTTTCCAAAATTTTTTTTTAATCGAAAAAATTTTTAAATAGAAAAATTTAAGGTTATATATAATAAAATCGTTTTCCTTACGTCAAGACGAATCGATCGATATATATAAAGTATACATTTAAGGTAAATTTAAAGAATTAATGAAAGTTGAAAAATCAAAAATTCACATTTTGGCTATAAAATTTTGTGATTTTTTAAATTGAAGTTTATATATGAAATAATTGTATTCCTTACGTTAAGACGAATCGATCGATATATATATAAAGTATACATTTGAAGTAAATTTAAAGAATTAATGAAAGTTAAAAAATCAAAAATTCACATTTTGGCTATAAAATTTTGTGATTTTTTAAATTGAAGTTTATATATGAAATAATTGTATTCCTTACGTCAAGACGAATTGATCGATATATATATAAAGTATACATTTGAAGTAAATTTAAAGAATTAATGAAAGTTAAAAAATCAAAAATTCACATTTTGGCTATAAAATTTTGCTTTCTCCACGAGGAAGCAAATTTTTTTGCTGATCGTAAAGAGGAAGCAAAATGTTCATGTAATGAACATTTGAATTTACAACTTGTTTATGTTTGTGATCATAGTTACTTTAACCAATTTTGTTTACAACTTTTCTATTACGGTAAGTATATGTTGAAGACTACAATAATTTCAAATAAAATAATACATGTGATGCGTCACGAAGAAAGAGATATAAGAAAATTATATAAAGGTTATGATTGTCTCGGTGTTTGAATGTTTTTATTGTAATATTTTTGATGTAACGAAGACTTAAACGTCAATGGTTTATGTTAGAAATTGATCTCATTTGTACATTTTCATTTCAAAAATTTCAAATATAACCTAAAATTTTTGGCGTCTTAGATCCGTCTCTTTCTTCACGACGCGTCATATATTTTTCAATTTTTTTCCCTACTTAAAAAAATACCAAATAATACTTACAATTAAAATGTAGTATACATTCATATTTTTCAGATAAACAATAATAATGACTGATACAGATTCTAGAGGGGTGAAAAGAGGAGCATGTTTAGATTGTGCGTGCAGTCAATACGAGCGCGAACCTGAAGAAAATAAAAAAAAGTCAGCTTGCGAATATTGTGCACATGCACCTATGAGACATGTTGAAGTTAAAGGTATGAAAACGTATTTTTGTGTTTTTATAGATATATTTAATACATGGATAACGAACGGTCATCTTTTTACCTTTGTTCACATTTTCTAAGTTTTTGGTCCAAGCATCGCTTCATTAAAATTTTAATACAAATTTTTAATAAATTTTCACCTTTTTAATTATTTTATGGATAGAATGTATTGTAATCTCTGTAAATATTTTATTATTTTAAGATACCGAAAATACGTTGCATGGTGCAAGCAGTTCTGAAAATAATAATCTCGTCGTTCCTCATGAAATTGTAAGTGAAGAGTGTAGTGAATTCGTTAATGATGGAAATGAGGCTTCCACTTCTAAAGGCTCATCTATAAAAGTAGGAACTTTAAAAAGAACCGGAGATTTAAAGAAAAATTCAAAAAAATCAAGAAATGAAATTTCTCAGGCAATTGAGGAAGTAAGAATTAGTAATTAATTTAAATTTTTTTTTAAATTTTAAAGAAATAATTATATTTTAGATCCATATTAAGGACCTCCTACCAATATCGTTTCGTCCCGACATTCAACTCGGACTAGATAACAACCATCTAGAGCCCTCTCAAGAAAATGCGATCATTCGGATTGCCTGTCATAATATGAAGTCGAGGTTGCGTACGTCTCCTTCTGACGTAACAACTATGGCAGCACTTTTGCTGGAAACCTATCCGGTTCTAATAAGTAGGAAATAATGTTTTAGATTATTTTAGATGCATTTTTTTATACATTATTCTTTAAACGTCTAGTTTAAAATTCGAATTTCGTTGATTTTTTTGTTGTTGTTTCAGAATTTTTTGAACAATGTATACATAACCGCTTTTTATTACAATTTGCAATAATATCATATTGTTTCAAATACTAGTTTAATGTATTTCTTGAAAAAAATTAATTTTTAGATGGACCTAGTATGTAGAATAAAAATATGTCTTGTAAATTCAAATAGAACTTACAATAACTCAGTAGAGAAAAGTATTGCAATAATTCAACAAAGTGTTTCTGAAACACTCGCGGGTATGCAGGCTGAAATGCAGAAAGCAGATCGAAAACACAATATAACATTATTAAAAACCTGGCTTAATTGTACACGATCTGTACGAACAACCGAAACTCGGAAAGAATCAGCAACAAAAATATTGGCAAAATATCCTGTATTGAGAAAGGATATTCTAGTAAGAATCAATAAATTATCTTTTAAAATTAAACTAGTCATTTTCATTTATAAGATAATACTATATTTCCTTTCTTTGTCAGATTCTTTGGGAATTCGCAAAAATTGTTAATATTGAAGTTTCAATACTGAAAAACAATTGGATCAATGCATTTCCAAAAATCTGTTCACTGTTTTTAACAGCTAGTTTCAAAGTTCAGCAATAACGCGCTACCATTAAATCTTTTAAAATATACTTCCTGATTTGCTAGGTTGTCATCAGACAAAGTTATTTTAAAAGTATATGAAGTAAGTAATACTATTAGTTTTTATTTAGGTTTTCTAGCATTTGAATTCAAACTTGTGCAGAAAAAAATTTAAATAGATAAGAAATTAAATAGGGTGTAAAAAATTTTTCGAAAAAATTATTTTGAAATTATTATTATTTATTTTTCAGCAAGGTACTATGATCTCATAAATAACCCTAGGAATTGACAATGAACCATATCTCATAGGAATCGGCGATATAGAGTTCTCTGATATTAACTTCATGTGCCCATAGATCTAACTAATTTCATATCAGTTAAGGGACTACTCAAAGAAGAAAAAATTTAATGTGATTTTGCTTTAAGCAAAAAAACCAAATGTTTTATGTTATATAGTATTATATGATTTATTCACATTGTTATTTAATAATATAAAAAATCTTTTTCTTTTTAAGTTCACCAATATGCATTTTTTGCAAAAATGCTTAAGTATTTTGATAATTTTTTTCTTTTATTTTTAAATTGTTTTGCATTTCATAAATACAGCAAGTGTTTGTTTTGTTTGTTTTTTTATACTTTGAGTATAAACCGACTAGGAATAAGAAATTTATTTCTCGTTTTTTTTCATTCTCATTATCATCATCTTTATCATTATGTGTTAATAAAGTTTTTTTTAATTAAATAATCGTTAATTGCAAAAATTAATCTTTGTCAAAAAATGTTTGCTTTTTCTATGTTCTTTTTTTAAACCTTCGCATTTTTCGAAAAATTCTTTTTTTGTATAATCACAAAAATTGATATTAAATAAGACATCTGTCTTATTTAATATCATTGATTTCTTTTTTCACAGTTATTTAACTTTTTGCGCATATTATTTAATGCATTTCTTATTGTTAAAAAAATTACAATTTTTGTTTTTTTAAATAAAAAATTTCGTTTTTGAAATTGTTTTTGTAAATTTTGATTTTCACTTAATTTAGATTCTCTTTTTTTTAATTTTAACTGAAAATTTTGTATTTTGACAAATACGATGCAAAGTGTTAAATTTTGTAATATAGCTTGTTATTATTTTTATTTATTATTAATATTTCCTTTTTTTATTTAATTCTTGGACATTGAATTTTACACGTGACATTTACGAAGAAAGAATTCCTTCTTTCTTTAT